CGTGTCTGGTGGAACGAAGCCAGATCATGTGGCGGTGCTGGAATATCTCCACCTCTGCTCGTCGCCACTCGTCTCTCTAGTCCGTGTCTCGAGCCGGCCGGCAAGCACATCGCTGTGCTCTCCCTGGCTACGGAGGGTACTCCAGGCATTTGCCTGCACAACGCATTTCGGCCCTCTGCATGCTGTGCGCCTGTATGGGTTTGCAAACTGGTAGGCCGTACCTGGTTCGCAACAGTGACGGTCTCGTTGCATTGCATGAAATGCATACAATCTGCTTCGTTCTCATGTCGTTCCTCCCGGTCCTTGGCCTTGGCACTTTCATTGGCTGTGACCTTTTCGGCCGAATCCTTGCCTCGGAGTGCTCGCCCAGGTGCCTTCTGTCTGAGATGCCGCCGTAAGGAAAGCTGTAAATGCCTATGCAAGGGGATGTGATCTGAGTCGCTTGGATGCTCTTCCGCATCTTGAGCCTTTGCTTCCGTGATGGCTGTCGAACGACTGCTGTGATCGACGCTCGTCAGCCGAGGCAGTGCTGGAGGCTGGCAATGATGTTCCGTCTTGCTCGGAACTGCCTTGGTGTTCTCGACACCACTCAGGGGACTGACAAGGGACGGATGGGAATCCTCACTGGCGAATGATGCTTGGACCCTCATTTTGTGCCCAGCTTTGCGTCTTGCTGTTGGATGTGGAGCTTTTGCTGCTTTGGCAATTGCTATCACATCAGATACGAACATGCGCAACTCTGCCAACTCCTCGTCCTCACTGTCTGCTCCCATGTTGCAGGCCAGGGAAGCCAAAGCCGTTTTTATCGGCTGTCCCCGATCCAATGCTTCTTGAAGGCGTAGGTGGACCGACCGCGCTTCGTTTAGCAAACCCTCGCATGCTGGCGAAAGCAACTCATCAGCTGGATTCCACACGAGGATTTCTCGGACTGAGCGCGCCATTTGCAGCAAGGAGCGCTGCAAACAGGATGCCGCCCCACGACCACAGGAAGCTGTCCGGCGAGCATGGCAGAGCTCATGGCTGCTGTTGACACGCACACACACCTCAACGTGGATGCTGCATTCAAAACGTTAAATCGTTATATACAACCAATTGGCAGCAAACATGAGGCGTCGGCTTGTGGTTGTGTATGCTGGATGTTGGAAGCTTTCTTTCTCGAGCCTGCAAACGCGCGTAAGCTACGACGTACCTGGGTTTGTCGACCGCAGCAACAGCACCAATGGTATTGTGATCGGAGGCCGGAATCCTCTAAGATTCCCTGTCCGTGCAGGCACGGCAACTCTTTTGCTACTGGACTTGAGCACGCTGTACAATCCGGGTCGAATGCGGCAATGGGTCCTCGCAAGGATCCTGCCACACAGCTGCCTTGACTCAAATCCTGTCCAGCGGCGTGAATCCCAGAAGCTGGAAGCTTTTCAGGAGAACCTGCGTTGTTACGTGATCATTGTCTGCAGTGTAGTGATGGAAATTTGCTGGTGACCACCTGGCCTTTCGAGTAGCCTCGCACAGAAGCAGCCGGCTGGACTGCGCTGCCTCTCCCAAGACCTCTGCCATCATCTCGTTCATCGTGTGTATGTGTGTGCGTGTGTGCGTGTGTGTGTGTGTGTGTGCGTGCTT